CTTGCACTGCAGAGAAAGTTCTAAAATCTGTAACACCAAGGACATTAAATAATATGGCATTGTTATGTTTTCAGGATACTACTAAGTTTCCTTTGGAAGTGAAGTGGAGTTTCATAAGAACACAATGGGTAAGTTATATGAAAAGAACTTGGTGTTTTAGTGAATAAAGGCTTAGTTTTCTTCTTCAAAGGTAGATCTTCAGAGATCAGTGAATGTAAGTAAGACAGAATAGACAGAAATTAGTTGTTTAAATCAGCAGTTTATTTCTGAAAGGCAGATTTATATCATTATGATTGTCTTTTAAGAAATTGCAAACTTTCCCCACAGACATGCTCAATATTGGATTAGCTTGCCAAAAAAAAAAAAATACTGAAAGTGTAAATAACTGATAATTTTTGTTCTTGGGATTGGCAGAAATTACTAAAAATTTGTACACTTTAGGTGTCAGTAATTTAGAAGTTACTTGAATCTTTGAGTCCCCCCAGCTTTTTATTATGGACAGTTACAAAAAATAATAAATTGCATAGCTTTTCTAACTGTTAATGTTTTACCATTTTTGTTTTTCCAGTGTATATTTGTGTTTAAAAATAGTTCCCTATTTTGGGGGAGTGATATCTTTTGGACTATTTTAATTTAGATTTATCTTGAGTGTTTCCTCCTGATTAGATTCAGATTAAACCTGTTTTTTTTGTTTGTTTTGTTTAGTTTAGTATTTTTATCTTTCTTTATATTTGCATACAAAAATTGGGGTGTAGGCCAGAGGTGGGGGCGGGGATTAGAGTGGTGGAGCTACTGAGATATACTGCTGAGGAGAGAAGGGGTGAGAGCCGGGACAGGAGGGGTCTGCTGTGTTGTGGGCTATCTCCATGGCCTGGGATCAAACTCGTCTACAGTGACTGGTGATAGCTTGATAAGACTGAGACTTTAACCCCTGCACCACCAGGGAAGTCCCCAGGTTAAACATTTTCGACAGCAGTAGTATATAAGTGATGTTGATATTCGTTAATCTTAATTTTAGAGATTTCTAAACTGACTGTTGAATGAATAAGTACAAGTTTGTATTTGAATAGTACTTCAGGTCATCTTCTGTACTTCTTTCCAGGGTTTCCTGAATTTTTAGAATAAGCCTTAA